TTCTTTTGATGAGTCCCGTTGAAAAGTTGTGAGAGTTCTTACCTATTCCTAAACTCCTAAGAAATTTGTCATGGATAAGTGTTGAACAGTATAAAATGTTTTTATTCTGGGTTTACTGAAATAATCTGAGATAGTTTTTTTAATGTGCTATTCTGGCGAGTTATTGGAATTGGTAATGTCAACCTTATATAAAATAATTGACAAAATTACAGGAATAAGTTAATCCTCCAGAATGGGACACTCTAACATATCCTCTTAATGAAACATAAAACATAGTAACAGTTGTTAGTATGCAACTGATTTGAAAACCTAGGTAATAATAGCTTCATAAGAAACAATGTAGAAAACTATATCAAAAATGTATAGTTTTGAATCACATACAAATAATGGAAAGTAATTGGACATACTAGGTTTATAATTTAGAGAGAATTTAGCTGTAACAACAACAACAAATTGCCAAAAATGTTCACAAATGCTTATTTCAGTCCTGGAAGTATCCAGAAAAGAGAAACACTGGGTCAGTGCAGCCTCTCAACAACATAACCAAGGAGGTAAGTGTCCTGAACTTGTGACTGCGGTGTTAAAAGTACCATGGTGGAGGCAGCAAACAGATCTACTATTAGAGGAATAAGATGCTTCCTGTAAAAATCATGTTATTAGGAAAAACAGAGAAGGAGGGAGACAAAAAAAATGACAGAAGAATGCTCAGCGTGATGGCCTCTAGAAGTGGCCTGATGGGCACAAAAGAGCTACAGGAAAATACGAAAACATGTGGGAGCCTGAAAACCACAGAGGGTACATGATGGGGGAGCTCCGATAAAAGTCAGTGCAATCTGCTGCCTAAGCAAGAATTAACAGTAGCCACGGGTTTGGTTGGGGGCTATCCCAGATGGACAGAGCCAGGACTCAGAAAACTGTGCTGTAAGCCAGGCTCACTAGGCTCCTCTGCATCGATGTCTCCTGAGGGTTCAGAAGAACTGAATCATAGCTTCGTCAGCTCTACTTTCCAAACCTCATGCAACTTCCTCTTCTTGTGACCTTCACCTCAGAACCATAACCAGAAAGACAATGGGATACAGTTTCCCACCTCATCCAAGATGACAACACAATTCAGTAGAACCTTCTGGACACCAGCTTTCCTCTTCGTGCCACAAGGTCTCTCTTTTTAACTCAATGCATCCTGTCCAATGTCCAACCAAAATCAAGGACAATGAGCAGAGACCAAATTATGAACATAATCACATGAGACTGTCCTCTTCCAAAATATTTCAATGACTACTAACTAGCAACAAATGTGGAAGACACGTTTTTCAGTTATGAAAACAAAAGGGGAGGGTAAATATCAAGTCAAACAATTTGAGTATCTGCAGCAGTGGACAAGAAAAGAAATTTCAACAATACAAGTGTTAAATCATGGTCACATACTAGAAATATAATGGAAGGTAGGAATCAATTTTTTTTCATCTAATATTATGTCGAGTTGCACAGAAAACAAAAAAAAAACAAAAACCACTATCACTTCTGGGTCCAAAAGACATTGTAATAGAAATGAGACAAGCAGGACTGCATTTGAATATCAAAAAGACAAAAATCATGACTACAAAAGGAATAACTGACACAGGCAATGAAGATGCCGACATTGTTAAGGGTTGTGCTACCTTGGAACAGTCATCAATTCAGGGACTGCGGCTAAGGAATCAAGAGAAGGCTGAGACTCGAAAGGGCAGCAATGTAAGAATTAGGAAAGATCACCGAGACCAAAGACATGTCATTGGAGACCAAGGCTAAGACCATCCGCGCCCTCAGATTCCCAGTTACTCTGTACAGATGTGGACAGTGAAGACAACTGACAGGTAAATATCAATTCATTTGAAATAAAGCACTGGAGGGGAGCGCGTGGAGACCCTGGACTTCAAGGAAGACAAAATAGTGGGTCTTAGAGCAAAATAAGCCTGAAACGTCACTGGGGGCAAAAAATGACAAAACTAAAGCTGTCCTACTTCTGGCACATCATGAGAAGGCTGGGCTCTTTGGAAAGGACGATAATGCTGGGAAAATAGAAGGCAGTAGTAAGAGAGGAGACCAGATAGAGATGACTAAGTCCATAACAGAAGCCCTAGGCCTGTGTCTAAGGGGCTGAGCACGGCCGTAGGGACAGGAAACTGCGGGTTCATTCATAGTCAACGGAGTCGGAACTGACTCAACGGCACGTGATGCACACTTACAAAGACAAAATCATATTTTAGTGATTAAAAGATTTCAGTCCTGTTCTGAGTTTGCATGTACAAAATAAGTGAAGTGCTACATCTGAAAGTTTCCCTACGTTCTTTACACTCTTAAGGTTCCCCTCCAGTATGTTTCCTCAATTTTACAACAAGGCATTAAGGGAGAATGAAGGCGTCCCACAGTCTTTGTGTTCAGGGCTTCACTCCAGTGTGTGTCCTCACATGTGCTCGCAGGTTGGTGGGATACCAGAAGGCTTTGCCACACTGCTGACATTCATAGGGCTTCTCTTCATAGTGCGTCCTTGTGTGTTTTTGTAAGGATGAGGACCAACGGAAGACTTTACCACATTGTGCACATTCATATTTCTCCCCACTGTGCATTCTCACGTGTCCTCTAAGGGAGGAGTGACGACTGAAGGCTTTCCCACAGTGCTCACACTCAAAGGGTCTCTCCCCAGTGTGCGTCCTCGCGTGTTCACGAAGGGAGGAGGAACAACTGTAGGCTTTCCCACAGTCTTTACACTTATATGCTTTCACTCCATTGTGCATTCTCACATGCCTTTGAAAATACCGAGAATGCCTGAAGGCTTTCCCACACACCTTACACGCAAAGGGCTTCTCCTCACTGTGCGTCCTCACATGCTCTCGGAGGGAGGAGGAACAAGTGTAGGCTTTCCCACACTCTGCACACTCATAGGGTTTCACTCCGCTGTGCGTTTTCATGTGTCTTCTAAAGTATTTACGACAACCAAAGGCCTTCCCACATTCCTTACACTCATAGGGTTTCTCCCCAGTGTGCGTCCTCACATGTTCTCGCAGGTAGGAGTGACAACTGAACGTCTTGTCACAACGCTTACACTCATAGGGCCTCTCGCCAGTGTGAGTTCTAAAATGGCGTGTAAGGTAGGAATAATACCTAAAAGCTTTCCCACACACTTTACATGCATGGATTTTCTGTCCACGGCAACCTCTTATATGACTCCGAAAGGAGAAGGGGCAAGTGAAACCTTTTCTGCATTTGTCACACTCAAAGGAGTTTTTATGACTGAGACGCTTCCCATTTCGCTTGTATGCGTGCCCTGCATCCTGACGTTGACAGGGTTTCTCCACAAGGTCCGTGTCCCCGGGAGTGCTGAGACACGGGACACACCTGCCAGCTTCTCCACATTCCTCACAGGAATGGGGCTCATTTCCAGTGGGAGAGCTGGGCTGATTCTTCAGGAAAGAACGATCCAGGCAGGTGTTTCCATGCTTGCTACATCCGGAGGGTTTAACTGCAGTTGGACATCTCCCAGGCACAGGAAGATCTGTGATCTGAGTCACAGTGTCTCCACACTGACGACCTCCGTTACATTCACAGGGTCTCTGCACAAAACGATGGCTGTTCAAACAGGAAGCACACTGTTAGGGACTAATGTCCATAAGTGATGTCCTTGTTACTGAATGTTGACGGTGCTAACGATCATTTTGACTATGTGTTTGCCATTTTCAGTGCATGTGTATATTCCTGGCTGTTTACAATGTTACATCGTGGAACAACATCAATGTTCTGACTGAGCTCATGCAGAGCCACGGCTCTCACTGTTTCTTATGTCCGGAGTTTCCTGACCACTGTTTGCAACTGAATTCTGTTTCAGACACTCAATATCTACAGCACAGTTATGAACATGGTGTCTTATAAATGTTCTCTGAGTGCACTATTGATGAGCTAGGTTTACATTTTTTCTTAAATTTCAAGTTAGTGTACCACTCTGCTGAGGACCCCTGCCCCGTGGAGATGCTGCTCACCTCCAAGGCCTCTCCTGCATTTGCTGCTGATCTGCAACGTTATGTAATGTCCAGGGTTCTTCAAACACAGACCACAAATCTTTTCCTGTGAATCTTACAATTTTCTCTTCACTGGATATTTCTTTCACTAAAATATTCCTCTGAGAACATGATCCACTGGTTTTGTGCGTGAAACAATCTGCAACAATTGGTACCACATTTAGTTTCTTGGGATCGAGATGGTGGGATAGAGGAAAGCAAATAGATCATATGTGGATTTTTTTTTTTATCACATACTGATCCCAAAATGTAGACAAATTTAATAAGATGGACTGAACAACTGAGCCAAGAAAAACTCTTAGAGAACCTTGGCTCCTTTGAGACATTGGCAATAATAGGAAAAATCGCTCAAAATGACAGCCTGTTCACTAAGAAATAGTTTAAGAGATGGAGATTGATGCTTAAATAAATGTTATCAGAAAATCAAAGTAGAAATGAAACAGGCAAAATGCACGTGTCAAAATGCTCCCTGTAAAGAGCTACAGAAAGTCTTTCCAAGTGCTTTAGGATGGATAAGAAGTCCAATGGGGAATGAGGGAAGTGACAAACGTCACCCTTTTCACACACACATTAAGTCATGTTTTTAATGGACATGTACAAATATCATTCCCTTATCTAGAACCTGCTGTTCCCAAGGGTTGTTCCTCTCCTGGTGTTCACAGACAAAGAGGACCTAGAAGAAATCTTTCCCCACAGGCCAGGTGCCATTGGGACCTCAGATGATGTGTGGTTCCTGCCCTGCTCCTGCACAAAATCTCATCATGGAGGAGGATGGAGGGCAACAAACATTGCACGAGATGGGCTGACACTATGATCTTCAGGCCAGTGATGCTAGGTAAGCGTGGAATTAATTGCAGCAAGATCACAATGTCAAATGTGTATTAACCCCAGTGTAACTTCTTCAGCGGTGACAATCATGAGGTTGTTTTGACTCCCCCACAGCAAACTGGAGACAAACTGACTGATACTTACAAAATTAGGGAGCATCAGATTTTTGATCAAAATAAATAAATATTTAGATTAATACGTGAAATTTTGTTTTTGTGGAAAAGCCATTTGACTATAGATAGGTAGGTTCCATGAACACTGGAATAATGTCTTTTTTCCAACATATTTTCATTTCCTTGCCCCAATTAGAACTATCCATTGTCAGAAATACATCTTCCCTGAAATCTAAGCCAAGGGAAGAAGCCATCCTTACCCACGGAGGCCAGGTTCCGGCAGGTCTCCAGCATCACATCTCGGTAGAGCCTCCTCTGAGAATGATCTAGCAAAGCCCATTCTTCCCGGGTGAAGTTCACAGCCACATCAGCAAAGACCACCGCATCCTGAAACATCCCACATATATTGTTTCAACAAGACACTTCTTCACGTAAAAGGATGGGGGAGGATGACAGTCAGGGACCGGGACTCAATTCCTAGGTCTCCTGAGGTCATACTCTCATCGAATGACAATAAGCAAGCAAACCAAATGCTATACACTCAGTGATGGTAAATGCATGGAACCTGGAAGCAAAGTGTGACAACTGATACAGACTTCCTTATACATAATTGGAATGATTTTTACTGAGAGAGCAGATCCTGGGGTAAGGTAAAAACTGAAAAATGAAAGCATCATTCAGATAACAGAATTGGATAGATGGCTTGCTCAAAGGTTTCCTTGTCAGCGCCAAGACCTGGAACCAGAATGTCAAGATGTCATGAACTCGGAGACGTCCAGGGCGGCAGCTTCATCAGAACAACTCTCGCCTTGGGAGTCACAGTGCCAAGGAGCCTGGTCTAATCCCCTCATATCTGACAGAGGCAGAGACCCCACCCCTCCCAGGGTGAGGTGGACGCTGTGGAAACAGACACAGGCCAGGGCCTGGGGCCTGGCACACGTGCTGTGTAAGAGCAGAGCCTGGTGCCTGAAGAATCTATCAAGCCAGCAGGGCCACCCAAATGAATAACTGAGTGCCTAGAATTCAAGAATTATATTAAAAAAACAATATAAGTTGGACAAATAAAAGAAAGTGTGAAAAAGGAACAAATATTCAGATGATTCAGAAATTAATAAGCACATTGAAGAGGTATTACAAATCACTTGTGGGAGATTTTTTAGATTGGCTGTAATCGGATAAATGTATAGACATCGGTACACTTAGCTGAGATGATACAAGTGAGCAGATCCGAGAATCTCCGTGTTCACTACAGACAAAAAAGCAGTAGATCAAATACCCACATACTCTAAACGCAAGTCTCAAATGGTTCTTTGGCCAGGTAACAAATACTCAAAAGTCAGACGCAAGCCTGGTTCTTTGGCCAGGTAACAAAGACTCAAAAGTCAGTGGCTTCTAATTGTGTAAAAAAAAAAAAAAAAAATCGCAGAGTATTACCAAGACCAGAAAGGAACAATTCCAAAAATATTCAAAGGAAAAAAATATTCATAAATATAAAGGCAAAAGGCTTTTTAAATGGAAATCCAACACATAAATGTATATTTAAAAAAAACATGACAAGTCACAACCACATTCATTTCATTCCAGAAAAGAGAGATGGATTAAATATTGATTATTCAATGAAGATATTTCATTCTATTAATGGAAAAAACACACACACACACAATCCACAGATGGTGAGGACACGCCTGTCTCATGTCATTCTTCATTCATGACAACATAACTAAAAGATGAGGCGGGAACACACATAATCAGAAAGAAATGGTGTCTACATAAAACCCAGACCAACTTCCTACTTTGCGGCGAAACGTTGCAACTGTGCCCTCTGAGGGCAGGAACAGGAAGGTGAGGACCGGCGTGGATACAGCCCACGCCTGTGAAGGCCCAGCCAGCGCTGCCATGCAAAACAAGAAAGTGGAAAAACGTTTACAAGGAAAACAACTAAACTTCCTTAGTGCCTCATGATCAGATTTAGCATTCAGAAGTCCCCAAATCCCACAAATGATTAAATCTGTAACTGATCATGGCAAAGGTCATAACATTAAAAAATCAATTTCAGTTCCATGTGCAGTGATGTTTTGAAAGAAACCAGCTCATCTCCTCCCCAGGTGCCCAGGTGCCCATACCTGCCTTGGCTGCTGACTGTCAAGGACGCAATGAGCGCCAACAAGGACCCGAAGATAGAATTCATGACACTTTCTTGGTATGTAAGGGGCTTTTTATAAACAAAGTTTCTGGTATATTTCTTACATAAAATATGTTGGGACCTGGCAAGGTTGTGAAGAAGTGTGGGTGTATTAAATTATTTTCACAAACCTGCCTGAATAAAAGGGGAACACTTTTTGCTTTCCTCTATGAAGCCTGTAGAGCTTTGAAAATGGAGAAATATGAGAAACAATGCATTCATTTATAAGATCTTATTCTAGTAAATATAATATTTCTTTACAGGCATATGACATCCTTTGCAAACTCTTATCCCAACTGGACAAAACACTGAGTGAACGATTATCCCTTCAATGATCCATATTAATGGATGTCTCATCTTAAATCGAGTCTTCACCTCGTCTCTCTTAATTACTGAAGCATGAAATGGTTCAGACAAATTCAAATACCAGTATCAGAGATTCACACATAATCCTCCTTGTCATTTTACTTGATTGTCCAAATATGAACTGCTACTCTTTGGCAAACAGACACGTGTCATCCTTTCCTCTAAGTTGGAGTCAACACGGGCTTGGCCGTAAGGGCTTCAATGGCACGCAGAACAGAATATCAAACCAGTCTGCCCACCGCACTGAGGGGAAGCGCTGGTTTCTATTTAAGATCTGGACCCTGCTGCACAGACCAGGACGGGAGTGAGAGAGGCCGTCCTGTGTCATTTCTGTACTATCAGAGATGGTGAGTTCAATCAACTCCCATGTATCCTCCGTGGTGTGTTTTCAGTAAACTGATAACTGGGATCTTATAAATGGTTTCACATAAAACTGCATTTCAAGTCCTGTTTCTTTTCAGAGTGTTTTCAAGTATCCAAATGTCCTTCACACCCTGAGCTCTTGCTAACAATAGGCAAAGAAATCTCTCTAATCTTGATCCCCAGGACATGCTTGCTTTTTAAAAATCACGAACAGAGAAAACTAACGGTGTAGTTTTACCTTAAAAAATGTTTTCATAGAAAAACCTTTTTTCCTTTATTAACAGCACAAATGGTTGTGTATCGATCACGTAAAAATATATAAACATAGTCACAGACTCAGATTTTATATACGTTTCCAGAACGATTACTCATAAAAATAAAATTCGGAGTACTTAGAATCACAATGAACAAGCGATTAAAAGCAAATACTTAAAACAAAGTTCTAAAACTGATACTAAGTCTACAGCCATGCCACCATGAACGTGCCCGATCTCGTCTGATCTCGGAAGCTAAGCAGGGTCGGGCCTGGTTAGTACTTGGATGGGAGACCACCTAGAAATACCAGGTGCTGTAGGCATTAAAAAAAATTTTTTTTTAACTGATACTAAAACTAAAATTTTAAGTTAGAAAATATCTCTAGCAAAAATTATAAAATAATTTAATAAAAATTAGAGGACAGTATTAGATAACACCACAGCAAAATAAGTGCAGGGATGGCATATTTCAGTAAGGAGAGTCACTGTCACAATTAGATCGAGTTTCAAGAGAATTCCATGGAATCTACAAGCATGTTTGTTTGGAGTTCGTTTTTATCTTGCTTAAACTTTAGAAAAACTACTTCTAAAAACTGAAATGTAAGAGACATTTCTAAAAATAGCTGAGATTTCCCACATAACAATGTGGTGGGATTTTCCAAGAAGATATCAAAGTTTCTAAAGTAAGAAGAGAATGGTGATCACAGAGCAATGGACAAATTCACCAATGGAAAGACACGCAATGTACCAAAACAGACCCATAGTTTCTGACAAGTGGAACCACCCCAGAGTAGGCGACCCAAAACAGGGATATAGATGGTGACACTTTGTCACATGGGGCAGTTACGACTGGTTATCCACGGGGAATAAAATATCATTTCCTAATCCACTTCATGTATAACAACCAATTCACTATAGATTTACCTGTGACAAATAAGGACACTCTGAGATGAAGTTATAAGCAAACGTGTTGACAACTTGAGAGCTGGGAGAGTTGTCTTACATCAGAAAAAAAGAGTGAGTGACAAAAGAAGAAATGGAGAAATTCAAGTCGATTAAAGTTAAGCAGTTGTCTATCAAAATGTAGAATGAAGGTTTTTAAAAAGAAACAACAAAATGGAGTCACTTGTGCTAAGCCCACGAGAGTTAAGACCTGTCCTCGTGGCAGCTCCTGTCTCCTCTGGGAACGTAGTCTGAACTGGTCAGTCTGGAAGATTCTGGTCAGCATTGATGTGGTAAACTTCACATTGGCCTTTTGTCCCCCAAAGGAGGGTGACTTCACCCAGAATAATCCTTTTATGTTTCCTTCTGACTTCCTGGTCCTGCTTTCCAATTCCTTCCTGTAACCCTTTGGGGCTCCTTTGTACTTGCTGACTGGGATGCTGCTGCCCGGTTCATGAATCCTCTAATAAACACAATTAGATGTTCAAGTTTATTCGGTTGAATTTTTGTTATTTAACAATGAGAAATGATAAACCATGATCTGGGAGAAAATAACAGCACTACTTGGAAATGGAAAAGGATGATAGTACAGACTCGGAAAAAAAAAAAAACATAAAAAAAAATCAATAAACACAAATGAATCGAAGGTGAGAAATAACTGAAAACTATCTCACAGATGAACTGCCACTTGTTAGAAATGCTCAACCCCATAAATAATCAAAGACCACATGCGCTCACGAGGAATCCCCGACTCACAGCCTCGAGATGAACGTTAGGTAACTCAGTGCTGAAAAAAACAGAAATAAACACTTATGAGCAACAGTGAGACACGTGATTCATGCAACCATCAGCACTTCTGCGTAGATCTGAACTCATCCACAACCTATAACCCAGTTTTCCTCCAAGGTACAAGACATTTTGGATGCACTTGCACTTGAAACAAAAACAAGAATGATTGTAGCAGCATTGCCCACAAAAGCAAGAAATAAACAATAGACAACGCATGCCCCACAAGAGCTGCGGGGAATGAATTTGTTCACTGGGTGACTTGAGCTCAGACATAAGCTCTTGACAAAAAAAACTGAGGCTGAGAAACCACAAGAAGCCGCTGTGCAAGCTTGCCGGTGTATTACTGGTGACAGTCACTGTGGCCAATCCCGCAGAGGAAAATCAAACAAAAGGCGGCCTGGTGGTGATGAACAGATGGAAGTCTGCACTGAGCCACGAGAACCAAGATGGTGGTCACCCTGGGACCAACACCTGGGGTCCTACAACCACCAACAAAATAAAATTCCCACACCTTCAGTTAACGGCACTGCCTTGCTAGGTGTGGGACACACTGGGTCACAGGGCAGCGGATCTTCCCCAGGGGACAAAGGGCAGAGTGGCCAGTGTGCGCAGTTCAGATCCGCAGCTGGCCTCCCACAGCACACAGGGGACCCCGACAGCGCTCAAAGCCCTTCCAAGTGGAGGCCAGGCTCTCTCTGCTCACAGGTAGCCCCGGGTGGCTCCTCCCAGGGAAGGACGAGACCTTGAGCCCCAGGACACCTAATTCTAATCCCCATAGTGCCCACTCTCTCAAGGAGGGAGCCCCTTCCTCCAGGACCTCAGGGCTCCCCAAGGAACAAACGCAGGAGCATGAGTTCTGACTCACCGAAACCCTAAAATCCATAAACCCTTCCAACAGCACTTGAACCCAAGAAGCTAAGTCTGACTTTCACAGACTCACTCAGTTTCTACAAAACACACTAAACGCCACCAACTCTGTGGATGACGCCAAAACCAACCTTCAGGAAGCAGCCCCGGGACCCTGCAGGTGGATCTCCCCTTCCCGGCCTCTGTGGCTTCTCTAAGCACCAACAGCCCCTTCTGGGTGGTTCCGGGGGCTGGAGGCCACGTGCAGGGCAAGGTGCCCAGCAAGACCCAACTGAACCTTCCTTCACCCCCTACCCAGGACCAGCTTTGGGTGCAGCTTGTCACCAACCAGGAGACGCTTCTGCTTCAAGCACCGGGCGTCACTGAAATGTGACAAAGACCTCATCCTAGTATGTGACTGAGACCCCGCAGAATCACTGCTGCCACCTGCATACAAGGATAAAGCGAGGAGGGGATGCTAGCGCACTCTTATGGTTGAAATAACAGGAAAATGGTCATCCTTTTCAGCGAACATAGCGGTTCCCTATTATCCACATGATAATAAATTCTAAATCAAATAATCAGAATTAAACACACGTCGGCCTCACAGGTCGCATTTCACAGAACTTGCATTCATCTTGGACGTCGGCCGTTAGCAGGAGGCAGGACAGGACCCCACAGTGCCGGAGACTCCACAGCCTGAACGGAAGAGCCACTGTGAATCTTACGAATATTTTAATCTATGCCTCCACCCACCTCGCATGAAGGTGTGGAACTGTGGTCATTTTCCCTGCGTTTCTACTGGAGAGAGAACATTTTCTGTACTGAGTCTCTTGTTCCCAGCAGCATCGCTGGTTCAGTACTATGAAAATAGGAATGTTTCTACTGGAGAGAGGACATTTTCTGTACTGAGTCTCTTGTCCCCAGCATCGCTGGTTCAGTACTATGAAAATAGGAATGACCAGGGCAGGCAGAGACCTAAGATCCCTGCTACCCTCACCGAGGAGAAGAAATAAGGCAGAAAGAACTGTCACTTCACATCTGCTGAAAGCTGAGGCTGGGATAAGGGAAAGCTCCCAGTGCTGACTGGACACAGGACGCTGCTGACAGGGGTTAGATGACAAATCTGAATCCTCCCTGAGCCGTGTGTTCCTGGAAACACCCATGGAAGGTGTCAGAATCCCCTTCGCCTTTTCGTTCTGGAAAGGGGCTCACTCACTTCAGGAACCTCCTCCCCCTTGTTTATCCAGGACAATATCGGACACAGACAGCACGAACAGCTGAACTGCTCATAACCACTGACCATGCAGAGCCAAGGCGTGTTGCGCAGACATGGTTCGGCTTCTCTCTCAACCCCAGACCCTTGCCCTTAGCCTGTGCTCAGCCTGAGCCCCCAGACAGCCCTCTTGAGGACAGGCTGACTGGGACCTGCCATCCCACACCTGGTACTTCCTACTTTTGTTCATTCCTCTCTATGAAAGCAAAACTCTTTTCTTCAACTCTTGAGGTGCTTGCAGATTTTATGCTCTCCCCAGGGCACAGTCCCTCTCACACCCCTCGAAGTTATTCTTTTGAATGAACATGCCCCTTTACGAAATGCTAGTTTTATGTTTCCCACAGGGCTGGACCAAGGCTTGACAATTGCCCGTTTCTTACTCAAACTTTACTCGGGCTCCTGTCCCCACAGGCCCACACATGGCCCCCGCCCCTCTGAACAAGCGCTGACATGCAGACAAGGCTGCGCTGACCTGAGCGGAGAGTGTGTTGAGCACAGGGGGACTGTCCCTGTCACATCGCCTTCTGCTCACCTTCCTGCCACAGAAAAGCCCTCTTCTGAGATGTGAGCCTCATTCTGGGTTATTATAGTCTTAGAATGTTAAAAACAGGACAACGGGCCCCAAACAGGGTCACTTATGCTAAGCCCCAAGTCACCAAACTTAGATTTGACTTAATTGGTTTCAGCCCATCCCAGGAATGGAATCTAAAACCTGTCAATCAGGAATTACCGGGTCATTAGTGAGGTCACCTGCATGACAGACCCCACCTTCCCCTAAAGGAAAGTGACCTTGCCACAGTCAGGTTAGCGTAACTTCCTAGTTCCACTCCCTTCTGTCCCTTCTTCCTCGGAGCGCCTTCCTGTCTGCCAGATGAGATGCACCCCATCCACGAATCGTGAAATAAAACCAATTAGATGTTTAAATCTACTCAGTTGAATTTTGTTTTCTTAACAGGAGTAAAGTCTCTCCTTAACGAAGTCTGAATCTGCTTTTATGTGTCGGGTCCTGGGCGGTTTCCCCACCTGGCTGCCCCCAGCCCTCCAGGAGCCCCTGACTGCCAACGCCTACGGTCGCCCTGTCCTCCCTCCGCCCCTGCCTAGCCCAGAACTAGGATCTGGACCTGGGGAGTGAGGGGCACGGGGAGATCCAGGACGCCGAAAAAGGACACTCAAATCGGGACCCCCGGGACCCCCACGCAGGGACGCGACAGGACGTCGGGACCCCACTCGGCTGCAGAGGATGGAGGCTGGAGGAGGGACCCCGGGGGTGGGGAGGATGCGCAGGACGAGGGCCCGCGGCCGCTTGCAGCCGATGAGGCCAGTCCGAACCAGCCCGTCCCGGTCTCGCCTCCAGCCCCGATCCCGCGCACTCACCATGTCCCGGCCGCGTACCGGGCTCCTGGACCAACTCCCTCCGTCCCGCGATCCGGGCAGGGGAGACAACGTCCACGCGGCGAGCGCGCCCGCCCCCAGCCCTGATTGGACGGTGCTCGGGCTCCCCGCGCCCTGATTGGACAGTCCTTGAACCCTCCTCCGAGCCCTTATTGGACAATGCTGCCAGGTCTCTCCCTCCCGATGACCCTGATTGGATAGTGACCAAAGCCCGTCCCGCGGGACCAACCCACCTCCGCTCCCAGCAACGCCACTCCCCTAGCGTCCTCATCCTAGACTATGAGTCCTTGACTCAGTTTCTCTGCGGAGCGCCCTGTCCCGAGCCTGGGCAGGACGAGAGGGCCTGGCGACACAGGAGACAGGAGTCGCCGGCGTCGAAGTCACCGTTGATCTGTGCCCTGTGTTTAGGAACAAAGACCCTCAAAATGACGTCATCTCGAGGATGGCTGGGTCGGGCTGGCGTTTGACGTGTGACCTTTGACACAGGAGGCCCGCCCTCTTGCCCCAGCCCCAAGTCTGGGGCTTGAGGTCAGCAACCCAGCGCCCAGGGTCCTTTGCCTCCGTGGGAAATGGGACCCTGCGTCCCAAGTCTGCACGCAGGATTCCGTCTCAGCACAGAACAGGTGTGTGTATTTTAAATCAGGTGTGTATTTTAAATCGGTTACTGTGTGTGTCTCTACAGAATCTTGAAATACAAAGGCTTTGATAGCCCTGAGGCAATTGAATTCCCATTTTAACCGATTTAAGAAAAAGCTTAAGAAAAAAAAAAAGACAAATAAATCTGGGTTGGACCTGAGAATTTTTATGTACGCTGATTAAATTGGGCCAAAACACCTGGAGCATTTCCTATGCCTGCTCATTTCAAAAATGCCCTCCAGCTGTGGCTAGAGTAAAAGTATAAACTGATATCATAATCGCTTTACTTATGAACATAATGATTTTAAAAAGCATTTTCTAAAGTCTGCAAAAAGGTTTTAATCATTTTCATAAAAATTACAGTGTTTAGGCGAACAAATGTAAGAATGGTTTCCTATGTAGAAAAGATTTCTAATTAGAAATTACTTTTGATTTAGACACTTTTAAAATATGGAGTTTTTGTGTGTGTGAATTAGTATAGAATGCTGCATTCCGAAAGGTCAGATTGAGATTAGAAATGTGACTGGCTGTGCCCACTTGCCCCAGACGCCCCCACTTCCCAGCCCATTACTTTCCTGTAGGACCGCTCCAGCGTTTATGCAGGAAGCAACAGTTTCACCTAAATGTTTTGCTTTCTTAATTTTGTTACAAAAAAGTATATGGTACACACATTGCAATACAATTTGCTTTTTTGGTTCAATTAAAAATAAATTCCACAGCTCTTTCATTTTCATCTGTGATTCCTTCATCTTTATAAAGGACTGTAAGACGGTACAGATTTAATAACCAGTTCTCTCTATGTAGACACTGAGCTTATTTCCAATCTTTTGCTACTCAAATATTCCTGTATTTGGGGGGAATATAACTGAAAACAAAAGCTGTCAGCCCAATAAACCTCTCGCAAAGACAGAGGAGAAAATAAATAAAAAGGTTTATTATTGAATCAGCACTAAACCACAATGTGACGAGCACTGAAAGCAACCTAAGAAGCTGCAAAGATGATAACAACAAAATACCAAAATATAAAACCATAAAGACAGAAAGAACCCATGGCCCCTTGTATAACCAAGCAGGTACACCGTGACCAGTCCTCAAGTGAAAAACCACAGTATCGGTCGCACATAGCTTGTCATCAGTGCTCCTGATAGTTAGGTGACCATCTGTGTTAGTTAACTGACTTCATCAAAGGAAAAAAAACGCGTCCTATCTTTTTGACAGGAGATTGTTTTGTAACCTGCAGAGAAGCACTAGCAGGAGGTAGGCTCCCACCCTCCCAGAGAAACTGCAAGAAGAGCACTATCTGCCTTGACGATTGCATTTCAAAGAGAGGACTCTCAGGCCCCCGGACGGACTACTGGGTGGTAAAGCTGGAAAGAGCCTTATTGGGCTTTTTAAAGGTTTACACACATTTCCAAGGACAGAGAAAGACACTCTACAAGTTCTCAAAAGAAAACACTCAGAAAAAGGAGGAGCTAAAAATCTTTCCTTACTTTCCACAAGGAGAATTAAGGCTCTTATTTTTAACTTGCTTTCACATCTATTAAAAAAAAAGGTATATATCAAGGGATCCCGTACAAGAGCATTAACCTCCTCCAAACTTAGACTGAAATCCAAACCGGGAGTTGGTCACATAACATGGTAAAATAAATATTGGAAAATATTTTTTCAAGCTTAAAAATTGTTTTAATTTCTATTGCAAAGTACGTCGTACTCAGAAGAGTGCCCTAAATGTTTTACGCTTAGTTTTAATAATTTAAGTAAAAAATTGCTCCGTTTAAGATATAATACATATGCACTGTAGACTGAGCACCCACATTCATGGACTGGGGCGGCTGCTGTCCCCCGGGGATGTCCCACCCCGACTCAGAGCCCTCCAGCCCCTAGACGTAATCACCACTCTGAATTTTGTGGTTCAATGTTTGATTTAATTGCCTCATTTGCAATTTTAGAAAATGAACATGACCAGAATTACACTGAAAAGCCTTTTCTGGGGTGTGTGCATCTGTGTTTTGTTATATTTCTTTATACCTGACCTATATCTACATTTCCTTTAATTATCCCCAAAATGTCCTTTAGAACCTGTCGCCCTCAGATCCAACACAAACCTGGCATTGCATCTTCTAGTATTTTAAGAAAATACTCTAGTATTTTAGAGTAAAACTGACTTCTTTCGAAGTTCTGTGAATTTTCATGGAAGTATAGCGTTCGCAGGATGAGCTGTGCAACCCCCAAATTCATACGTTGGGGTCCTGATCTCCAGCACCTCAGAACGTGGCTGTTTGGGAAACAGGGATCTCTACAGAGATCATTAAGGTAACGTAAGGTCACTGGGGTGGGTCCCAGTGAATTATAGAGTAAAACTGACTTCTTTCGAAGTTCTGTGAATTTTCATGGAAGTATAGCATTCGCAGAATGAGTTGTGCAACCCCCAAATTCATACGTTGGGGTCCTGATCTCCAGCACCTCAGAACGTGGCTGTTTGGGAAACAGGGATCTCTACAGAGATCATTAAGGTAACGTAAGGTCACTGGGGTGGGTCCCAGTCCAATCTGACTGGTGTCCTTATGAAAAGTGCTCGAGATACAGACACGCAGAGGGAAGCCCACATGAGGACACACGGAGGACGTGGAGTCTGCGATCCGGGAGTGAGGCCTCAGAAGCCAGTCCCGCTGTCACCAGGCTCAGACTCCCAGCCGCCAGGGCTGAGAGGGCACAAATTTCCGCTTTTTATGCCACTCGATCTGTGTTGTTTTGTGGCGGCCCCAGCGAAGTGTTTACTGGCATGAGGACAAGCAGGCCAACGGAAAGGGTTTCACAACTCCAGAAACAGACCCCACACACATGGTCAGCTAATTTTCCCAAAAGGTGCTAAGGTAATTCAGGGTAGAAATGATTCTGGAACACCTGGAAATCTCTGTATAAAGTAACTCATCCCAACTTCTAGGAACAAAAATTATTTTGAGATGGATCATAGACCTAAGTGTAAAAGCTAAATTAAAATAGAAAATAACAAGTCTTGGCTGTTCTGAAATGTAGGTTTTACTGTTACTCAGGTATGGTGAGGCCAACAGAGCAGAAAGCGAGTGCCACCCGAGAAGACCATTTGTTACAGCTCCTCAGAGGGGGCACGCCCGGCCACCACACAGGGCCATTCTGGTCAGCAGCAGGTGGCCAGGAGGCAGAAGGATGAAGGGGGAGTGGGGGCGAACGCCCTCACCATGGTTTCTGTAGGATGGAACGGGTGAGGCATGGGAGGCAGGTCTCAGGCTGGCTGGCCTAACTCCAGGGGGCTCTGGGACGGGCTGCCCCGAGGAGTCTGGCATCGGGCCCTGGGGTAATCAGAGCAGACAGAGTGGCCACCGTGAAGAGGTGGAAGGTGGCCTCTGCGTTGACTGGTTTGCATCTGACAAGCAAGGTCCTGAAAGAGTTGTTTAGTGTCTCAAAGACCTGGCCACCCTGAGAGGTGCCTTCTCTCCAGGTTCACTGAGGCCCCAAAATGTCAAAGCATCAGAATACAGAAAATAAAAAGGCATGAGTAACACATTGGTGAGGATGTGGAGAAACTGGAACCCTTGAGCAGTGCTAGTGGGAGTGAAAAATGGTACGGCTGCTGTGGAAACGTTTGGTGGTTCCTCAAAAAAGTCCCACGGATGACCGCCTGACCTGGTAATCTCACTCCTAAGTATATAACCAAAAGAACTAAAAATAGGTGTTCAAACAGGGGTACACAGATGTTTTCCCTTCTCCGCGCTTCCCTTTCCGGTCCCGGGGCTGCCGGGAGCGGAAGAGGAGGTGGGCCTTGAGTTTGGGATTGGTGGAGCCTCAAGGGTGGGCGGTGCTATCCACCTCCTCCAATCGCTGAGAAGAGCTGGGACGCAGCGACTGAGCCCAGGGGCTGGATCCTCCCCTTTAGGGCGTGTCCGAAGCAGGA